GCATTTACAGGCAGAAAAAAATGTCAAACACCTCTAAAACAGACATTTTTTAGCTCAAGAGTCCTTATTATGGCTGTATTCTATTATGTTAGACATCACTCAGCCCCATTAATATTTGAAGTATAATAACATCATTTTGTGTATGCTACTAAAGTTCTGAGATACAGCAGCTTACTCACCGTTTTCAACAACAACATATTACCACCAGTTTTAGGATTCTGCACATTATATATCAGTCTTTTTTTATCAATAATCACAACTAATGTAATCTATCAGTTCAGGTAAAGCACAAAAATCAGATCAAGTAACAAATAACTTGAGACATGTTACTATATATCTTTTGAAGAATCATTCCTATATTCAGAAAGCAGTACATTCAGGGTGATCTTATCTTTCCTGTACGTACTTTGGTTCATATTTACAGTAAATAGGTGGGGTCATTCTAATTGATTCTCCTAAAGGCTAGGTTCACACTGCTGCTTGAAAAATATTTGCACTTTCAGATTGCCATCTTGTGGCATAAAAGAATAACACCTGCAGAATTGTACTCAACAAGCCTTATATATCTGTTTAATACAGCGTGCCAATGTTTCATAGGCAGGCTTAATTATTATGGCAGTGCACAAAGCAAGGATGATGTCTGTGGATTCAATTTCACTGAAATAGGATTGTGAAGGATGAATTTGGCTGCTGGCAACTGAACTTTGTATGCGATTCTATAGCATACGGAATAAGCTCATATGTAGTCATGATATGTATATAAACAATACAATGAATGAATACATGAATAGCCTACCCATTATGTGTGTGTGTATATATATATATACACACACACAGTATATATTATTTATTTATTTCAGGTACTTGTATAGCACCATCAATTTACACAGCACTTTACATATATATTGTACATTCACATCAGTCCCTAATCCTTAAGGAGTGTACAATCTAAAGTCCCTAACTCACATTCATACATATACACACTAGGGACAATTTAGACAGAGCAAATTAACCTACCAGCATGTCTTTGGAGTGTGGGAGGAAACCCACGGAGTCACAGGGAGAACATGCAAACTCCAGGCAGATGGTGCCAGGGTTGGGATTTGAACTAGCGACCCTAGTGCTGCCAGGTGGAAGTGCTAACCATTTAGCCACTGTGCTGCCCATATACATATATAAACGTATTGGGATGCCTGTGACTTTTTCATAGGTCTTCTGCTTTCAGCAAAAAAAAAAAATCAAAAATTATATATATATATATATATATATATATATATATATATATATATATATATATTCAAGCGAGCGCTATTTAAATTTAAATAAAAAAATCAATACAGTAAAGCAGCTTGCAAAAGGAAAAAACCTCTAAATCCTTAAAAGCATCTATGTCATAATTGCAGCGCTAAAAATATTGATAATACATCAAATAAAAATATAAAGTGATAAGTGAAAAAGCGCTAACAGGGAGCGCAATAAAGTGACAATAGTGAGTCATCCTATATAGACGAAATTCAGTGAAATAAACGCACAATATAAACGTATATTAGTCCACAAAATATTCTAAATATATATAGTGTGTGCGGGTATTAATAGCTCCTTTACAAGCTTCAAACAAAGGTGCTCGTGACTCCTTGTGGATAGGAAGAAATTAGGTGTGCTTGCACTCACCAGACGCACACTAAAAATGTGCATGTAAATGGTACTCAGTAGGGCACTAGTGGTCATCTAGGAACCGGTGGGGATATGGTGCTCCTCAGGTACATACATATACATATATATATATATATATATATATATATATATATATATATTTATATACGGCATAGAGGCTTAGTGGTTAGCACATCTGCCATGCAGTAAATGGGTCATGGGTTCAATCTCCCATGCAGTAATGGGCCTCGATTCCCAACTATGTGGCTTACTACTTTGTGACTGAGTTGCTGATGGTCCCAGTTGCTTCCACTTTGTTACAATACCTCTAACAGTTGACTGTGAAATATTTAGTAGCTAAGAAATGTCACGGATGGACTTATTGCACAGGTGGCAACCTATCAAGGTACCACGCTTGTATTCACTGAGCTCCTGTGAGCGACCCATTCTTTCACAAATGTTTGTAGAAGCAGTCTGCATGCCTAGGTGCTTGATTTTATATACCTGTGGCCATGGAGGTGATTGGAACACCTGAATCCAATGGTTTGGAGTGTTGTCCCAATACTTTTGGCAATATAATAAATGCACTATATAGCCAAAAGTATTGGGACACCTGCCTTTACACGCACAAGAAATTTAATGGCATCCCAGTCTTAGTCCACTCTGTCATTTTACGTGGCCTACCACTTCATGGCTGAGCTGCTGTGGTTGTCATTTGCTTCCACTGTATATAATACCACTAACAGCTGACCGTGGAATATTTAGTAGCAAGGAAATTTCTCGGATGGACTTATTGCACAGGTGGCAACCTATCACGGTACCACGCTTGAATTCATGGAGCTCCCGAGAGCAACCCATTCTTTCACAAATGTTTGCAGAAGCAGTCTGCATGCCTAGGTGCTTGATTTTATACACCAGTGGCCACAGAGATGATTGGAACACTTGAATCCAATGATTTGGAGGGGTGTCCCAATACTTTTGGCAATATAATATATATATTTGTTTAAAGCTTGACTCCAGTTTTTTTTTTATTCTATTTTATATTTTGGGATAGAGTAGGGGAGAGTTGAGGTGGTTCTAAAGGCTGACCATTTTTTACCTTGATGCATTCCCTGCATTAAGGTAAAAAATGTCCCATTACCTGTATTGCTCACTCATCCCCCTGTATACTTACCTGTGCCTGATCTCGATTCAGCGCTGCGCAAATCTATAGCCGCTTTCTCCTCTCTCTCTCTTCTCATTGGCTACTGCTGCTGTTAATCAATTCCTGTGGGGAAAGTGGGGGGAAGCAGGGTTGAGCAGCGTTGTGTGTGTCAATATATGCACACAGACCAGCTTTGGAGTAAGCCCGTAGGTGCGCCCTCATAGGAAAAGGCTTCCTATGGTGGAACACCAAGAAGAGAAGTTTAATGCGCCGTCAAGGGAACCCAGAAGAGGAGGGTTGGGGCCGCTCTGTGCAATGCCATTGCAAAAAGCAGATAAGTATAACATATTTTTATTGCTTTCATTAAAAATTTAACTTTACTATTTCTTTTGGGATTCTATTTCTATCTCTGACCCCATTGGGAAAGATTCCTCTTTATAAATTTTTGGGCTAGAGTTGGGCTTTACATACTTTAAATATATAATTTAGCCTTCCACATTTACATTTCTAATGTATTCACTTTAGACCCTCTACACAGAGATTGCAGCTTCAGAGCCCACATACTGTACCACAGTCAACGCTCATTTAACTTGGTGTAGCAAGAAATGATGTTCATGCTTTTCTGACTGCATATGTGGTAGATGTATACTAGTTAGTCAAAATTATAGGCATATGATAAATGCAATATGTGTCTCACTAGAAGTTGCAGCTGAGGGAACTAACAATGCCATTACATGGCCACTGAGCTCTTCATTAAAAATTCAGATACCTTTTTTGGCATAGGCATGAGCACAAGGTGTGCCGGTGTGCCTGGGCACACCCTAATCATCTGTGCACACAGGGCACCAGAGCTGCACTTGCCAATCGCCATCTTCACTTCTATAAACAGAAGCCTTGCATCTGTATTTAGAAGTGGAAATTCTGAAGGACCCTCTGCACACTGGTATATACCTTTTCTAGCAGACTTTGCAGTAAAGGGATATTTAGTTCACACATATTGCAATACATGTTTAAGCTGGCCAACTGCGTCAAAGTAATCCCTCTATGGCCAGTCCTACTCTGCTCTGCCTACGCAAATGCTACTGTGAACATAATGCTAACATAGAGGAAAAAAACAAAGTGGGGGAGAGCTACTAGGCTTAAGTCTGGCTACTGACCCACAATACAACAAACAAGATATACCTGTGCTCAAATCCCAATAGCTAGTACATGCTGTCAGGGCTCCGGGTATGACCAGAGGTGTGTGGACCGACACAGGGAAACACAGACTTCAGGTATAGCGTGTAAAACAATATAATTTATTAAGGGCAACACAAACATAAACGCAGTGCAACAAACCAAACCCAAAACTAACACAAATACGTACAACAAGGTGCAACAAACCCAAACCTTAACTGATATATATATAAATATGGAGAACAATGTAGTCAGGCGGGCTGGGTCGATAGCTAACGGGCAGACAAGGTACAAGGAGTAGGCAGAAGATTGGTCAGGAGTAGCCGAGGTCGGTGCAGGCAGAGATCAAGCAGAGTCAGGATCAGGCAGGAAGCAGACAGGATGCAGGTACAGGGGCTCATGGGAACAATACACCAAGGCCCTGACTGCAGGCCTGGCCATTCCTTGAATACACCTCCTGCAATCAGCCTCAGGTGATGGTTTGATTGCAGGAGTGAAATTCTGGCTGCTGAGAGCACCCGCTGGCCAGCCCTGGTACTGCAGCCCACAAGGCAGGTGAGTCCCACCACCATTGGCGAGTCCATTCCTGACAGTACCCCATCCTCAAGGAGCCTCAGGATGCTCCAAACAGTCCGTAATGGCACATCGGGCTGGGCAGCAGGCAGAGGCACATCGGGCTGGGCAGAGGGCACACATCGGGCTGGGCAGCAGGCCGAGGCACACCGGTCTGGGCAGCGGGCAGAGGCACATCAGGCTGGGCAGCGGGCAGAGGCACATCAGGCTGGGCAGCAGGCAGAGGCACATCAGGCAGAGGAGTGGGCACCGGGCCATCAGGCGGAGCAGCGGGCAAATCAGGCGAGGCAGCGGGCACCGGGCCATCAGGCAGAGTAGCGGGCACCAGGCCATCAGGCGGAGTAGCGGGCACCGGGCCATCAGGCAGAGCAGCAGGCACCGGGCCATCAGGCGGAGTAGCGGGCACCGGGCCATCAGGCGAGGCAGCGGGCACCAGGCAGGCGAGGCAGCAGAGTCATCTGGCACGACAGCGGGCACCGAGTCACCAAGCTCGACAGCGGGCACCGAGTCATCTGGCACGACAGTGGGCGCCGGGTCATCTAGCAGGACAGCGACCACCAGGTCATCTGGCAGGACAGCGGCCACTGGGTCATCTGGCAGGACAGTGGCCACCGAGTCATCAGATAGGACAGACAAGACAGCGGGCACCAGGGGGGGTCAGGCTGGACCGTGGGCACCGGGGCGTCAGGTTGGACCGCGGGCACCGGGCGGCAGGCTGGACCGCGGGCACCGGGGCGCCAGGCTGGACTGCGGGCACCGGGGGCCAGGCTGGATCGGGTCATCCGGCTGGATCGGGTCATTCGGCAGGATCGGGTCATCCAGCAGGATCGGATCATCAGGCCGGGTAGGATCATCAGGCCGGGTAGGATGGGCAGGATCATCAGGCCAGGTAGGATCATCAGGACGGGTAGGATCATCAGGCTGGGTAGCGTACACTGGGTCATCAGGCATCCGGGCATCAGGCTGAACAGCGGGCATCGGGGCACCAGGCTGGGTAACAGAAGGCGGGTTCTCAGACCGCAGGCTGAACGGTTTGGATACTGGCAGGATGGTACTGGTTGGAAAGCATTTTCGCTTCTTCTTGGTTTTAGTTACTGGAGCACTGCAAGTAAGCGCAGGTCTGTAAACGGAGGGAGCAGCTTCTACAGAGGACTTGTTTACAGGGTTAAAGGCAGGATAGGTGCAGCGAGCGGGAACAGGGGACTGACATGTGGTAGATAGCAGGGTATACTGGGCTGTCACTGGGGGTGCTGTGGGAAATGGAGGAAGAGAGCTTTGAGCAGAGGAATGATTAAAAGCAGGACTGGGTTGTTGCAAGCTGACTGAGGCTGGGTGTAACAAATCTGACCATGACTGTAGTACTGGCTGAACAAAGCTCAGCTTACACAAAGCCTGTCTGACCAAAGACTGCACTGCGTTTATACAATCCACTAGCACCTGTTGTGAACATGCTGAATAATGCTCCAAGAAGTAATCCGCATCATCCTCCAATAACCATACCAGTGACTCTACTTGGTCTGCACTAAATGGCGTTAAAAAGTCATCCCTGCTTTCAGGGGTACTAGATGAAGCCAACTCTGCACAAGCCTGGATCAATGGTTGCACCTCAGAGAACTCCATGCCCTGATCTACTAGAAAATGAGCAATCTGTATGCACTCTAGCAGCTGATCCCTGGCATACTCCTTCAGAGTCTGATAGGCATAATCTCTGTCATCCAGGACTAGCAGATACAAGTACACAACCTCCTCAGGATGCATCCTTCCCAACAACAAGACAAGATGGCTTCCCTGTGCAGCCACTTCTGGTCAGGACTGGCCTTGGTGTAATGTCAGGGCTCCAGGTATGACCAGAGGTGTGTGGACCGACACAGGGAAACACAGACTTCAGGTATAGCGTGTAAAACAATATAATTTATTAAGGGCAACACAAACATAAACGCAGTGCAACAAACTAAACCCAAACTAACACAAATACGTACAACAAGGTGCAACAAACCCAAACCTTAACTGATATATATATATATATATATATATATATAACCTATATAATAAACTATGGAGAACAACGTAGTCAGGCAGGCCGGGTCGGTAGCTAACGGGCAAACAAGGTACAAGGAGTAGGCAGAAGATTAGTCAGGAGTAGCCGAGGTGTCTTGATAAACTCTGGAATTCATTTTCCCATCAATGACAACAATCTGTCGGCGCAGGCAGAGATCAAGCAGAGTCAGGATCAGGCAGGAAGCAGACAGGATGCAGATACAGGGGCTCATGGGAACAATACACCAAGGCCCTGACTGCAGGCCTGGCCATTCCTTAAATACACCTCCTGCAATCAGCCTCAGGTGATGGCTTGATTGCAGGAGTGAGCTTCTGGCTGCTGAGAGAACCCGCTGGCCAGCCCTGGTACTGCAGCCCATAAGCAGGTGAGTCCCACCCCATTGGCGAGTCCATTCAATTTCCACGACACATGCATTTATCCATCAGGTGCTAAAGGGGTGTAACCACATAATAACACTAGAAATTCTGAAGGACCCTCTGCACACTGGTATATACCCTTTCTAGCAGACTTGTTTGTTGTATTTAGAAGTGACAGCTGCTGTCTGAGAAGCTACAGAAAACCCTCCCCACTATCCCTGAGTGAAGCTACCATAATACAGGAAGGGTGGGGGAGGGAGGGAGCCAATGGAATCACTAGTGCCAGAGATCCACTGAGTTGCAACAATTGCCAACACCCGTAGCATCACTCCCTGCCACCTGTGTAACAAAGCCAACAACTGAGGAAGCTTCCACTAGGCTCCTCCTCGGCTCTAGCTTATCCCGCCAAGCAAGGAGCCACGCTGTATCTGAGGTCTGTGTTGGGATATGGGGGAGGTGGCGGGGGGATTTATATTGGCATTTGTACAGCTAGAGGAAAGGTGGGGGAGGGATGGATTGTGAACTCTTCACCCTGTGAGTAGCACATTCCTGAATGCTGTACATTGTGCACTCTTGAATGCTGTACATAGCGCACTCCTGAACCCTGCACTCTATATGTAACTGTATGTAGTGCATTCCTGAACCCTGCACTCTATACATCGTGCACTCTTCAATTCTGCACTCTGTACGTAGCATGCTCCTGAACCCTGCACCCTGTACATAACGCACTTTTGGACCCGGCGCACTGTACATAGAGCATTTCTGATACCCTGAACCCTGTGAGTAGCTCACTCCTGAACCCTGCACTCTCTAGGTAATTTTGAACCCTGCACTCTGTAGGTAGCCCGCTTTTGAACCCTGCACTCTGTGTGTAGTGCACTCCTGAACTGTGCACTCTGTCCACAGTGAACTCATGAACTCTTCACCCTGTGAGTAGCGCACTCTTGAACGCTGTATGTAGCACACTCCTGAACACTGTACATAACACACTCTTGAACGTGGTACATAGCACACTCCAGAACCCTGCACACTATATGTAACTCTATGTAGCACACTCCTGAACCCTGCACTCTGTACATAGTGCACTCTTGAACCCTGCACTCTGTACATAGCATATGCCTGAACTCTGCACTCTGTACGTAGCGCATTCCTGAACCCTGCACTCTGTACATAGCCCATTCCTGAACTTTTCACCCTGTGAGTAGTGCACTCCTGGACAATGCACTCTGAACGCAGTTCACTCCTGAACTCTGCATTCTATACGTACCGTGCTCCTGAACCCTGCACTCTGTACATAGCATAATTCTGAACCCCTCACTCTGTACGTAATGCACTTCTGGACCCGGCACTCTGTACTTAGAGCATTCCTGATACTCTTAACCCTATGAGTAGCACACTCCTGAACCCTGCACTCTCTACATAGTGTACTCTTGAACCCTACACTCTAAGTAATTCACTCCTGAACCCTGCACTCTGTACGTAATGCACTCCTGAACTCTGTACGTAGTGCACTCCTGAACTCTGCACGCTGTACGTAATGTACTCCTGAACTCTGTACGTAGTGCACTCCTTAACCCTGCACTCTGTACGTAGCGTACTCCTGAACTCTGTACTCTATACACAGCGTGCTCCTGAGCTCTGCACTCTGTACGTAGTGCACTTCTGAACCCTGCACTCTGTATGTAGTGCACTCCTGAACTCTGCACTATGTACACAGTTCACTCTTCACCTTGTAAGTAGCGCACTCCTGAATGCTGTACATAGTGCACTCTTGAACCCTGCATTCTGTACGTAGAGCAATCCTGAACCCTGCATTCTGTATGTTGCACACTCCTGAACACTGTACATTTTTAACATATAAAAAAGTAATTTTAACATATATCTTTACATATATTTGTAAATGCATTCCAAAAATGTAGATATGTATTTTTAAAGACATACAAAATATTTGAAATGTATTTTTAAAAATATTTTTCATATACTTTGTAATAAAATGCATTTCGAGATATATATATATATATATATATATATAATTTTTATTTTTTTTTGTTATTGAAATATATTTTGAAATATATTGAATATGGCCAAAATTGTAGTATTTCAAATATATGTCAATATATTTGGGAAGAAGAGGGCACAGTTAAGTATTGGTGGGCTGTTTACAAGTATTAAGACATTTTTTACCACAATGCAGTGAATGCATTAAGGTAAAAATATCTTGCTTTTAGAACCACTTTAAGGTTATTGAAAGAGATATCGCAGATGGTTTGAAGACAGCGCTAGTAGTAGGCATAGGGGTCACAGTGGTCACAACACCTGTGAATTGACTTAGTTCCAGGAAGGCTTGGCCTGTTTCTATTGATGCATACATAAGCCCCTAGAAAGATAGAAAGAGGGCACCAGTTAGTCACATCATGCAGAGCAGGACTGTGCAGGAAAGTTACTTTGGGTCTGTGCAGAGGCATGGGATGCCCTCCATAAGTCCCTGTGCTCTTTTATTTGATATGCTGTGTAACATGTCCAGGCACAAGAACACTCAAGGGAACACTAATGCACTTTCTACCTTAAGAAGCTTCCTTGTACAGCTCTTTACTCTAGGATGTGGCTTACTGGTGTAAGGGTTTTTTTTAAGTGATTTCCAGCTGTTTGCACAGTGACTATGATAAAGTAACTGTACTTTTTCCCTGTTGGAGAATTTACCCTAATTAGCAGATGGAAAGCAATAGACAAAGAATAAGATATTGGAGTATGGAATCAATTAATATATGTTTGTCCTCTGTGAAGGATATACAATTACCCCCATGATGTCCCTTGGGTTCTTGGATGCTGCTGCATTCTGGATGGAAGTCATTTCGTGCAGTGTGACTCCTGGGAATACGTTATCACTGGATAATCAGTAAGTGAGATTGGATGCACTGATTAAACGAGACCCTGAAATTGGGACCTGTTCTCTGCTTTTTGGAAGGTATTTATACAAGGCTCTTCACATAAAAATAAGCAACATTTGTATTTACTTTCCTGCTTCACTTTAGGACCTCTTGGCACAGCATAATCTAAATAAAAGTAAAGCTTTACATTAAAATAATTTTTTTCAATAAAATGCCTTATGGTATAAAGTGACAGACCCAACCGGGATGGGGGCTTTTGGAGGGGACTGCAGGCTAGCCTTTTGCCTACTTACCATAGCCCTGGCATTTGAGGGAGCTCTATTCTTTGGTGGGTGCCCGGGGGGATCATGGAATAGTTTACTTCGGATTCAAATCCATGTCTCCCCAAAACACACAGACTCTGAGAACTGGAGGACCAGGATACAGATTTGGGGTCTGTGTCCAAACTAGCATTGACTTCTTGAAACCCCCCCCCCCTTCCTAGACTCAGAGACTCTAAGAAGATGTTGATATAATCAGCTCAAAACATCCTCCTCATGCTGAGGACTCTTGCTGTAATCTGTTTATTAGGTGTGAATTCCCATTGTTAATTGAGCTAATTGAGTCACCTATTGTTTGCAAGTCCATCTGGAGGGGCCTACATCATAGGATTAGACTGATATCAGCTTCACCTCGTTATCTAATCAGTGTAGGATGTTTATC